GGCCAGGTCCAGGGCCGGACGCAGCCAGCCATTCAGGAAGGCAGCGCTGGAGAGCGGGAGGCGGCCGGCGAGGAAGATCACACACTTTGCTCTTTTTGTTGTGCCGGTGGCGCCGGGCTCTCGCTGCCTTCTTCTTTCGGGAGGTGACAGAAGGGGGAGAAAAATGCGGGATAATTCACGCCGGCGACGAATTTACAGCGAGATAGGAAAAAAAATTAAAATTCAGAAGAAAATAATTGTTAAAAAAAAAAGAAAGGAAAAAGAAAAAGCGAGGGAGACATCCAAAGTAGGTCGAATAAATAATCCTCTTCTTTTCCTTTCTTGCTCCTTCTTCTGCTTCTTCTGCTATAACACACAGAGCTAGTTAAAAACCCTGGAGATCGCCCAAAAATGTTCTTTTTTTAGTATTTTAAATAAGTGCTCTTCAGCCGGGAACCAACACCCTCCCTCCAAAAAAATCATATATGTATAAAATAACGATAAGAAGAATACGAAGGGGGTGTGTCCCCCCCCCCCCTTTTTTTTTTTTTTTTTTTTTTTTTTTTTAAGTTTAGCCTTCTCTCCTCTGCGGGAAGAGAGTAGGAGACAAGGAGGAGGGAGAGGAAGAAGAAGGAGAAGGAGGAAACAACTAGTAAAATATGTAAGAAAAGAGAAAGGGGAGAGAGGAGAGAGGGAGAGAGAAGAGAGGAGGGAGAGCGGGGAGAAAGAGAGGAGAGAGGAGAGGAGAGAGAGAGAGGAGAGAGAGAGAGAGAGAGAGAGAGAGAGAGAGAGAGAGAGACCCAAAATTGAATGCGTTTAAGCGGGAGGACTCGCAGAGCAGTGTTTCCGAAAGGGGGATCTGCGCGAACGTCTGTATATAGTGAACTTTGACACTACTATTGAAACTGACACGTTTCTATGGAGATCGCTGCCTTATATGGAGCTCGTGTCAAGGAGCCAAGAGAAGGGCTGCTGGCAACTGATAATCAAAGGCGACTGACTGGTCAGAGCCCCGAATCGGGGGGAGAGAACGGAGGCTAAGGTTAGCCGAGCCTCCCGCACGCCATTGGCTGCGGAGCCCCTCCCCCGCCTCTGTTTCTTTCTTTCTTTTTTTTTTCTTTTTTCTTTTTCTCCTCCCTCTCAGCTACCTACAGTCGGGGATAGCGAGGGGAGGAGGAGAGAAAGTGAAGCGGGGTGCGCTTCTGACAAGCGCAATTTACATTGAGATCGCCCTGCGCTGCTATTTACTCTGAAACCTGATTAGTATGGGTCGTCTGTGGTCACACACACACACACACACACGCACACGCACACGCACGCAAGCACACCAGAGGGGGAAGGGCTGACAAGGGGAGAATGCTTTGCTATGAGAAAAAGAAGAAACACAGAGAATGAAATGATTTCATTTCTTCTGAAAAGTTTTTAAAATTATATTTTATGACCATAAAGAGAGTCATTGAAAATGTTAGGGGGAACATTTTAGTGGGAAAGCAACCCCCCATTTTAGTGATTTCCGAAATATACTGGATTTGGATTGTTTTCTTCTTTCAAATGTCATACATAATCCTAGTCTGGATTCTGCTCATTTTGAGTGTGTGTGTGTGTGTAAGAATAAAGCTAGCATCTCCCTATTTTTTGATCCAGAGTATATCTTGGTTGTGAAGGTTTAATGACGACAATGCACTCGAGTGAAATTTGCAACTATTACCACGGTTTCAGTCTGAGTTAGCGGTTCCTTTTCATCCCAAAGATGATTTTGAAATAAACTTTCCAATCAACCTGTATTTTCCTTTTTTAAAAAAAAAATCCCAGGCGCTTTCAAACTCCAAACAACGCTCCCATAATTATTAATAAAACAGTAGTAAGCCTTTGTATGGTCGAGGGACGGGGGTTAGGGAGGCCAAGTCGGAGTCCCAGGAAAACAGCAAACGAAGGAGGAGAGGGGGAGGAGAAGGGAGAGAGCGAAGGAGAGAGAGGGAGATGGTGGCGGGGAGGGGGCTGGAGACGAAGACCCCGATTCCCGAAGGTGATTGGTCGCAGGAGGAGGGGCCGGCGGGAGGAGCGGGTCCCGCCGCGGGGCCTGCAGGAATCGC